CCTTCACTGTCAGGATATATATATCCTTCTCATTAGGTAATGTAAAAAGACCTGCAAGTAGATATAAATGATTAAAGTCAATTTACATGGCATGACAGGCCTAAATACAAATAAGAATCAGGCAATAAGATTTTTTTACTACATGTAAATTAATTTAATATGGGTATGAAAGCCTCTACAGAGCTAGAGAAGTATTTTGAGCAATGTATGTGAAGCACTCATTGTTACACAGAATTAAAACATTCAGTTTTTGAACTATGCCTACCTGGCTTGCTATTTCTGAAGCCCTTTTGACCCGTTGTATTTCAGGAGTATACAGGCCAACTTGCATCCCTTTTCCTATAATTTCAGTCTTCAGATCCTTTTTATATTCTTTCTGAAGAAAAAAGAAGGAAAAAAAACCATAACTAACTCTACAGTTATTTGTACCAAAGCTATTCTGATAGCGCTGGTCAGACTTTAAAATAAATTCTTCAACTTCTTTAATTTATTTTTTTTATTGTGCACTGCTGATTCCTTTTAGCCCAAGTATGCTTGAGAAGATTTTATATTTGTAATATCTCATTGTGTTTTACTTTCAAAGTAATCTTAAGAGATTCATTCTGTACTCACCTGGCTTACAATTTCAGAAGCTTTTTTGGCTCGTTGTATATCAGGGGTATCCATGCCCACTCCTATTCCCTTTCCTTTAATTTCATTCTCCAAGTCTTTCTTGTATTCCTTCTGAAAAGAATAGCACTGGAAATAGTCATAGGTCTGACAGCCAAATTCTTAAATTTTTCCCACTTTAATCTGTGAGAGTCCACTGAACAGCATTCTTAAAACACCAAATAACTTTTGATTCAACAGCTTTCGCTTTATAGGATCTATCTACGAGACACCTACGCTGTAGCTGCTGACCAGTTAAAAATTTCTTTTAACAGACTCCTTACTTCAAATCTGATGTAGCCTTTCACATCTACCTGTCTTTGCAGCTTTGGCAGCCGCAATCACAGACACACGTAGATGAGACTTTCTCCCTCGGCTGTGCAAGACTGGGGTCATAAGGCTTTAGCATCTCTCTAACTCTGTTTATCATTTGGCTCTAAATAAACAAGGAGCTATTTAGACCTAAAAGCAGTAGGGCTGGCAGCTACTGAACACAGCCCAGGCCAGCATGGCTTGTGAGGAACAAGCACCACCTGCAAAAGATGACCAAAAGGTCAAAGTTCTGGGAAGTCTTAACTTTCCCCCATACGCTGCTTATGCAACTTTTAGACTCTATGCAGCTCAACAGATTAGCTATTTGGTGAAATCTGTGGTATTGCTACTGCCTAGATTGGTCACCACATGGAATTCTCAATGACAATAATTTGTTGCATCCTGTCAAATGGAAAGCTTGCACCAGGTACAGTACTGACCATGCTTGCAATTTCAGAAGCTTTCTTGGCTCGTCTTATCTCAGGAGTATCTGGACCAACTTGCATGCCCTTTCCTTTAATTTCAGTTTCCAGGTCTTTCTTGTATTGTTTCTGTGAAGATAAAACTTCATACATTATATTCGCAATAGCCAGAGAGTTACAGGTAGATTTTTGCACAAGGGATCCAATTTAAGATTTAGAGTCAATCAAAAATCTCGAGTCACAACTCTCAAGAGTCTTGGCAAGCTTATGTCAGGAAAACACATAACAAACTACAGGAGGAAAACTTGAGGAGATATTCACTGAATGTACAAAACTCTACCACTGAGTTTTAATTTGGCAGAGGGTGGGGGAAATCAGTCCATACAGCTTGTTACAATTATCCTCTAAAGTAAAGGGGAAGTTTAGCTCTGCAGAACATAGTGTAATAAGCTGGTACTTGGTGCCAGCGTAATTGAAACACGTTTTACTTTTAAGAAAATATTTTATTTATGAAAAGACTACATGTTAGAAATTTAATACCATATAGAATTGTTTCCAGTGAACTTTCAGAGCAGGAAGTTGTAATTTATTCATTTAATAGGTCTTTCCTGAACCACAGCCATTAGGCAAGTGGCAGTACTCATCCATGATTGCTGCTTTTTCCCCACAACATAAATTATAAATGACCAACAACTAGGAAACAAAATGAATATTTCATCTTCAGCTTATCCAAGCAAGGATATATTTGTTGTTCATCAGCAAATGATATTAAAATGCAATACTGAAATATTGTATACAATAGCTGTACTTTTTTTTTTAATAAAAAATTAAAAGATTCTCAGGCAGTGTTATTTCTAGTAGTAATCATTCTTTTCTATTATAGTCTATCTCCGCCTGTGAAAAATAAGTATCTTTTTTTAAAAATAAATACATACAATGAAAATATTTTCTTCTTACTTTTCCTGTTTGTTAACTATTTTTTAGGTTGTACATTAGTCAGAAAGAAGAAGGAAAATATCCTCCTATTCAATGCAATGGTCTGATCACTTATAGCATAAAATTACAAGAACAAGAGCAAAAAGACTTTCAGTCTTCCATCTCTATCTCACTCTGATGTGGAAATAAATGTGATAAAACAACTCTCTACTTCCCAAACCACAGGTTTTTTGCAAAAAGGGTAAGTTAATCTGTGAGAAGACATCATCTCTCTATTCCTCTCTGCTAAAGGTGGAATGGCAGATGTTTCTTTCCTCCTAGCTTCCTACCATGTAAAACACCAAGGAAAAGATAATCCTGGGAGTTACAGCTATATATTCCTGCACTTGTTTACAGTGGTAAGGTTGGCCCTATGCATGGCATTCCCTCTGGTTCTTATGGTTATGTATGTATATGTGTGCAAATAAACATATAAATACATATTAAATGAATATAAAATATATA